AGAGGTTCCTGGGTGGTCCCAGCCTGTCTCAGTCCCGATCAGCCAGGCCCCAGGATGAAGCTCACATACCAGTCTGAATGTCTTGTCCCTGGTGGTGAATGCATGTCATAGTGAGCTGTTCAGCAACATTTGTATATCATTTGCATATTATGCTTTGATTGGTTGAATAGATGACTGGTTGACTGTACACTTATCATATTAGGATTTTATTATATAGGATTTATTTCATACAGGAAGAGAGAGAGAAACATTAATGATGAGAGAGAACAATACATCGGGTGCCTCCTTTACGCCCCCTACTGGGTATCAAGCCCACAATCAGAGCATGTGGCCTTGACCAGAATCGAACCTGGGACCTTCCAGATTCCACAGTCCAACCCACACTCCACTGAGACAAACAAACTAGGGCTCATTGATTAATTCTTGTCTGTGCCTGACGAGGAATCGGACCGTGACCTCCGGGTTCATAGGCCGTCCCTCAACCACTGAGAAACACCTTCTTGGCTCAAAATGCTTTTATTGATTTCAGAGAGAGGGAGATAGACATAGAGATAAATAGACAGAGAGAGAGAAAGAGAAAGGAGGAGGAGGAGGAGGAAGAGGAGAAGGAGGGGAGAAGAAGATGAACAACAACAACAAGAACAAGAACAAACAGAGAGAGAGAGAGAGAGAGAGAGAGAGAGAGAAAGAAGAGACAGAGAGAGAGAGACAGAGACAGAGACAGAGAGAGAGATCAATGTGCCCTCGCACCATAGGGGTGGCAGATAGAATAACAGAGCTTATTTAGAAGGTGAATAGAACTATACAAATCCCACAGGCCGGCCAGCAGGACTGGGTTTCAGGTTGACAAGAGCCACGGACCCCATCACGTGTCCTACAAGTCTTTCATCAACTCAAGTACCATTTCCTCCATATTATCCTCCCTGATGTGATGCACAATGCACCAGAACCAGAACATGCAGTCCAGGTACTGGTTCCCAGGTTGGATCTTCCACATCAAAGGCATGGTGCTCGAGGTCAGCAGGCTGATGGTGAGAGGGATATACCCACTGGGGATGTCTTCCTGGTGCAACCGTACTTGCAGTACACCTCCTGTCTCCATGAAGAGATGCAGCCACGTGCGCTGCTTCTCGTCCTCATACACCGAGGGCCCACGGATCCTCACGCAGACGGGGTGAGAGGTGAGGTGCACCTTCGACGGGAGCTCCACCATGACCCCTCCGTGGTCCAAGGAGCAACAGCCACAGCCTCTAGAGCCTCTTGCTACTTTGGTCCTGTTATCGAAAGACAGGAAATGGTGTCTCCAAACGCATTTTACCTCGGCTTTTATCTTTATGTTTATTATGGTTGTGTTTGTGGTTGCCTTTGGTTTATTTTCCACATTTATAAATCTCAACTTTTCTTTCTTTTGAGCTTTAGATCTCTCTCCTAGAACAAACTGTAAAAAACTTACTTGAAGTAAAATTTTACTCTGTGAAGGTAACACGGTCGCATTTCACCTGCATTTCTGAGTGCAGTGTTCACTTTCCTTTGAGCATCATGAATAAATACATTAATATATTAATAAAGCCAA